TACTCTTAGGCCCTTAGTCCATCAAAAAGCGCAAAGATTTACCGTTCCCATACTGCGTACTGAGACATTGCCTGAGCGAGAGAATCAGTTACGTGGGAAGGGCCCAGCAACAACTCTGACGGCAACGAGCATAACTGTCACGCAATTACCAAGCCCGCATCCAGCACCGACAAGGAAATCATGGCAATTAATGAGTCGAACGCGAAGTGTCAAGCCATCACCGCACAAACTAAGGCCCCAAGTGACGGCCACAGCAGCGGATAGTTATAGTACGCACGCGGATGACCGCTACTAACTATAAATACCGTGCAATCTGTGCGTGTATCAACCCTATCTGCGCATGACTCAGACTATTTTACCATTACCTATGATAAAGGATTCTCGACAGAACCCGAAACGTCAGGAAAATAAAATTCCTGTTCCAGAGGTCGCTTTTTCTTCTTCCGAACTGCGTCCTGGAACTCCCATATTCGTTCCTATATTACAGTGTCGTTTACCTTTAGAGCTAACGAACAATGAGCGCACTCCTTACTACAAATCCAAATCTACTACGACCTGCTTTTATTCATCAATTGAAACATTGCCAACACATAGGATAACTCAATTCGTCTCAGCGTCAGAGGTCAGGCTGTAAGAGCTCCTTACTGAGTGCGGCATGTTCACCTATGCAAGTTCCCAGTCGCAGTTAATTTAGTCCGTTGCGTATGTAGTGCGAAGCAATTGGTGTGCAACACTCGAGAACACGCCGTTTAGCTTTGTCGACCACTGCGCACAAGCTCACCTTCGGTCACCTTGCTGTGGTAATTGTGCAGGGGGCAGAGAATGATGTAGAGCTAATGCACAAATCCGCTTCACTGTAAAAAAAAACTCACGTGAAGGTTACCACTGGATAGGCTAACTCCGTGGAACAGCAACGTACATCGTGGCTTACGGCGATCGACTGTCATGTACTGTGGTTTTTATCTTGTGACATTTCTCAATTCCTTTCTTCCAAAAGGGGGTGGACTCTTTGCTTGCTTACTTTTCAAACCAAATTGTTAGGTTGTAGCGACCCGTAGAGACTAATGCCACAATGCAAAGCTTAATCAAAGACTAAAACGTAGTCTTCGTCTGAGTATTGGGTGAAAGTATGCAGACGGCTTGAGCTATGTTCATCGCAATGTGTGGGCATAACCTCAGTTTGTGCCCGACGCGCTGAGCAAGGGTAAACAATGCAGGAGACACTCACACTCCATTGGCCGTAGAAGAGGCGACGATCACGTCGTTGAGTTTGGCAACTTTGGCCGGTGATACGTCGTAACAGCGACAGACGTTGGCGAAATTGGCCTCCAGTTGCTAGGCGTGTAAAAAACAGGCAAAATGAAAGTTAGCTTTATGGTTAGTAGACTAAAACACCACTGGAGGAGACATTTCGTTACATCACGAAGTGGCCGCCTTAGTGATTGGATAGACAAAGCATATGTAAAAGGATGCACATAGATTAGAATGCAAAAATTAATGACGGCTGCAGGGGAAGGGGTGGGGGGTCGTGACCAGAGAAGTTCTACATTTCTAGCCACTCTGACACACACAAACTTAAAAGTAACGCACAGCCTTCGAGAATTTCCTCAAACAGGAATCCTAGTGTGTATTGGAGTGTGCCCATATGCAAAAAACACTATGCTGTCGACAAGGGCATTGTGGATCTCCGCTGTGGGTATTTTTTTAGAGAGGATTACATCTAATACAAACGACATCTGCCCGAGGACCTACGGCTGAACCGAGCTTTCCTCCATTTGTTCTACATTTTAGTAGAACATTGGAATAATCGTTGCATGCATTTTTCCACGATAAGTAGTTCTGGCAGGAAGGATTAGAAAATACATTCAACTTCGGAGAACTTGGCGGGTGTGGCAATTTTGTGAGAAGCATAAATAATTAGCGCATGTCCTAGAATAAATGAAAAAGAGAAACTTCAATAAACATAAAGCCGATGGTGAGGCATGTCCAACACAGGTAATCTTCGAAGTGAGGGCAGAACTCACTGTGGGTAACAACAGGTGGATAAATCAGTTTACTTGAAATATCACAGTCAAATTGAACGTAATATTTAACTGTATAAGGCCTGCGGATGTTCTTGTTCTCGAAGTCCATCCACAGACACTGACAAACAAGATGCCAACTTCTACGACCATCCCGGTGTGTGTCAGGCGGGCCACTCAAATGGCCTCATAGCCCTCTGGGCCGGCAGAGACACTGTCGCAGGTGTTCACAGAGGTTACGACCGTTAGCACAACGCCTGCCGTGTGCCTTTTTCTTATGTCTGTTAAGTCTCAGTGTTTGCCGTTGACGTGCAACCGTAATGCCAGCTAAGTCACAGAAGATGATAGATATTCTGCGCGTGTGTCAATCTTTAAACACCTGGCTGATGGTGCA